AGAAACATCTAGAAGCAAAACAAGAGAGATCACAAAATCTAGAAAGACACTCTTGTCCAAGGAAGAAGTCTAGTTCGTTGTTAAAGCACGGTCCATTATCTATCAATGCACCTTTCTCTCCTGATTTATGACCTCACGACTCAGCATTTTCCTGCATTAAATGTGGAGCATCTCCCTTTCTCCATCCTCCCCACCCCATGTTTACCCTCTGGGAAAATCTTTTTTGAGAATGGAGTTATTAATGGCTACATAATAGTTCATCAAATGGATTTATCATAATTTCCTTGGCCATTCTCCCATACTAGGATATTTAAGCTGCTTGCTTGCTTCTCTCTCTCTCTCTACTTTTTAAAACAATAATGTTGCCGTGAACATCTTTGTGCATAATGCTTGCCCTTAATATTCTTAAGATAAATTCTCAAAGCTTAAGCTTACTAGGTCAAGCTACATGAAGGTTTTAAAGGTGCTTGATATTTAATGTTCATAATACTTTACAAAAAAGGGAAAACTACTCCCTTTTCATTTTGGACTCTGTAAGATAGTATTTACTTGGGAGACTTGCCTTCTCCTGGTAGTACTGCTCAGTTCATATTAAAAGGAGTGTGTTTATGGAGTGTTCATTGCCTGGGGGAGTTGGGGTGGGGAAGGAGAGCCAACCAGATTGGCCCTGAAATCCATTGCAGATGATCCGTAGGGGGGCATGTCTGATAAATAACCAAAGATGGGAGCGTTACTGTAGAGCAGTGGTTCTCAACCTGTGGGTCGCGACCCCTTTGGCGGTCGAACGACCCTTTCACAGGGGTCGCCTAAGACCATCCTGCATATCAGATATTTACATGACGATTCATAATAGTAGCAACATTACAGTTATGAAGTAGCAACGAAAATAATTTTCTGGTTGGGTCACAACATGAGGAACTGTATTTAAAGGGCCAGAAGGTTGAGAACCACTGCTGTAGAGGATAAGGGTAAGTACCACAATGAACTCCCAAACCCGACTGCCATCTCAGAAGGAAATGGGTTCTGCCTGAGGCCTGAAGGTGCATAACACCCGTGTCAGGTGCAATCCTGGCGTCATTTGACTTGATGATGTACCAACAAGATGCATCTTGTCCTGACACTATCTCGGCAGATCTCCTACTCAAAGAGGTGGTGGTTGGACCAGAGTTCTGGCAGCTGCTGTTGCTGCCACTGGGGAAACGGAGATGAATACTTACTCATGCTGTTTTCCCCAGAGGCCTGCCCGAGCCTCTGTCTGTGTCTAACAGTGTTGGCTTAATTCTGGATCAGGCCCTAAACTGAGCATGAAGATTAGACTGTTACACTATATCTTGACCACCCCCACTTCCCATTGCCCTGCCGCAGCCCCTTTCTGCACCACCCAAGTCAGCTGGCTGTGGGGGGAAGGGGCAGAGAGGGACTGAGCCAAGAGCAAGACTTGGGAGATGACATGACTCAAACACTTCAACATCACAGACACTTTAACTGGAAAGAATATTAGTGGTGATCTGGGTCACTCAATCCCAACCTCACTGGGGTCACAGATCTCCGATAATCATATGAAAGCGGTCAGTCTCTCCAAAATATGCACCTGCCCAAATTCTGACTACAATTGCAATATATTCCACAACTCCCTGACACCATCCATCTAGACCAGTGATGGCGAACCTTTTTTTATATATATATATATATATTTTATTGATTTTCCACAGAGAGGAAGTGAGAGAGACAGAGAGTTAGAAACATCAATGAGAGAGAAACATCAATCAGCTGCCTCCTGCACATCCTCCACTGGGGATGTGCCCGCAACCAAGGCACACACCCCTGACCGGAATCGAACCCGGGACCCTCCAGTCCGCAGGCCAACGCTCCATCCACTGAGCCAAACCGGCCTTGGCAATGGCGAACCTTTTGATCTCGGTGTGTCAGCATTTTGAAAAACCCTAACTTAACTCTGGTGCCGTGTCACATATAGAAATTTTTTTATATTTGCAACCATAGTAAAACAAAGATTTATATTTTTGATATTTGTTTTATATATTTAAATGTCATTTAACAAAGAAAAATCAACCAAAAATATGAGTTCGCGTGTCAGAGGTGACGCGTGTCATAGGTTCGCCATCACTGATCTAGACTAAGCCTTTCATTTCCCAGATGAGGACATGGAGAACCTGCGGAGATGCAGGGCTTTGCCCAAGGTTATACAGAGGAGAGAACTGAATTCAAACTCAGATCCCCTGATTCCCGATATAAGACCCAATACAGTAGGTTTCCACTCTACGTTGAGTTTGGGAATCATGAAAAGGTAGGGTGCTTACAAACAAGGAAATAGAACTCAGGCTTATGAAAGGAAACTAACATCAGTCAGTACTCAGTATTCCTGTCATAGATTCCTCTTTGGAAAGCAGAAAGTAATGCCTTCCATTAATTCAGCAGGTACTTAATGAGAACTTAAGAGCATCTCCTAAAATCTCTAATCATTGGGAGACTAGTTGTTTATTAGAAATTATGACTTTTTGTCATCTGGAACCTGAAGAGGATGTTGAGGTCCTCAAAGTGATTTTTTTGTGGCTTTGTTCAGGCGGTGGGAACCCCACCCTGAAAGTTTTAGTGCAAAGGTACTTGGTATTTCATTGACTGTGATGCAAAAGTTAAGTGTCACATTAATGAAGGAGACCAGAGTTTGTACCAAAGGGTCCCTATGTAGATTCTACTGCAGCATCAGCTACTCAACAACCAGAAGAAAAGCTCCAAGTCTTTGGGGACATACGTTTTATAAATAGCAGTAGGAAAACCAGATTCCAATTTCATTTTTCTGGAAAGAAGCAGGAAGCGCTTTTGACTGATATATATCTTCTCGGTTGGGTGCCAAAAGGCAGCCTTTTATCAAGAGTGGGCAGAGCCTAGTGATGAAGGCTGGAGACTTGCCCTGGATAGGAGCTTCCCTGCTGACTGGCTGTGTGACCTCGGGCAAAGCTCTTTAGTTCTTTGAGCCTTGGTTTTCTCGTCTGCAAATTGGGACTAGTAATACTCTCCTCATAAGGGAGAAGAAATACCCAAGGAAGGAGTAAGATCCAAATCTGGAAGAGAAGCCTCCTTCTTCTTGCAGAGTGCCTGAATACATGGCTTAATGTTGTACTTGCTACAAAGAAGTGCTTACAGGATCCAGGCCATTATCTCCAAGCAGAGACCAAAGGGTGAACTTGGAGCTGAGAGGCAACGATCTGATAACTGCTATAATGGGCGGTCAAAAATGTTTGAATTAAAGTAGGAAAAGCCACATAATCCATCAATAACTCTCTTAGCCCCTGTTTATGGCCCCTTCTTTCAGTCCCCTAAGTTTTTACCACCAATAAATGTCCAACTTCTCACTTCTTTTGTAATTTACTCTCCAGAAGCTCATTTCCCTCTGGGGGATTCCAAGTTAGTTTGTTGTCTTAATGAGGCACGAGTCTTTCTTCTCTTGGCACACACTTAAAAGAGACTCATGCATGAAAGGGAGAGGGAAAACACTCACACAAACAACCTAAGACCCAATATTTCATCTCACAGTGTATTTCTCCACTCGGCCTTGAACCTGTTTCCCCACTGCCTCTCTCATTCCTAAGCAGTCCATCTGTCGCTCCCAACCACTGTGGGCGTGTCCTGAAGCATTTGGCTCCCCATGGCAGTGGAAGGGATCAGAGCTGATCCAGGAGCCAGTCTTTCTCTGCCTCTAAGGAAAATGCAGTGGCCACCTCAGGTCAGACCATGGGATTAATCTCCTTGAACAAATCTGAAAGAGTCCAATCTCCAAGCGTTTTAGGAGAAAATTAGCAACAGAGCGAACAGCAGACTTGGAGGATAATTACCAGCACCAACATTATTCAGAAAGCTTTTGGAAAGGACTAATCATTTAAACTTGAGAAGCAAAGCAGGGAGAGCGTAGCATGCAAAGAGGACTGCAGTTGCCCTCCTGGGAGATGATGTTATTAATAGGCACCAAATTTGTGTCAAGACAATGTTCTTAGGCATCAACCACCCTGTTCTTCCCAAATATTTCATTCCCTTCTGAAGAATCAGATTTAATTAGTGTTAACGGATGGTTCCCCTGCTGGAATTAGCTCAACTGTGAAAATGGCTGTGGGGGGGGGGGGGGGGGCGGGGGGCGGAGGTAGGGGAGGATAGTTAAAACCTGCAAGATGAAGTGGTTTTGCAAACTTAATTTGTTTACCATCCTTCAGATCCTTCAGAAGGGCTGGGAAGGTGATCACTTTAGCCTAGAAAAATGGCAATTGGAAAAACTAGAGGAATGTAATCTTTCCACTAAAATGTATATCTGTATATGTGGCTGTCTTACATATTTATTTGCAAGTGATGGTCATTGTGGGCCATGAAACCTAGAGTAGACTGGCGGGAAGTCATCTCAGTATCTTTTCAAGGTTCTACCTTCCTACCCCTCTGTGTACCAAGGAAACCATGCTCTTACATGATCAAGAATAATCCCGTGTGTATCCCTGGGTAACTGGGTTGTTACCCAGATCTCTACTTTCTTCTGTTTATCTGTATTTGCTACAGTGAGCATGTATTCTTGTGAAATTAGGTAGATATAAAAATTTTAATGAAAAAAAAACACCCACATTTTTAAATTCCCGAAGTCCTTGGCTGTATCACCGCTGTATGTCACATACCTAGCCAGATCCTTTTTAGCCTCTTCACTCCCCCTGTTCAGCAGACATCATTTTGGAAAGAGATTTATGTCTTCAGTCTTGAACTTCTAAAAACAACCTCTATTTTCTTCTACCCAGTGGTGATTGATGCTGCACCTGCCTCTGATGTGACAAACACAAGCAGTGAATAAAAGCCTTTCATGATTCCTGCGAGTTCCGAGGCCCTGGAAGGCACTAGCCAGGGGCACCGAGCCACGTGAAGATGCTCTGTGGGTTGTAATTCTGCCAGCGGGCACCTTGCGGCTATCACCTGGTATCACTAACCTTTGATCTCTTGCTCTGCTCTTTCAGATTTTTGACAGCGAAGCCAAAGACCTCGAGAGAGAAGTTTGCTTTATTGATATTGCCTGCGATGAAATTCCAGAACGTTACTACAAAGAGTCTGAGGTGAGCAATAGACGGGATGACATGTGGGAGAAATTCATTCATTCCTTCAACAAGAATTATTAAGTCCACCATAACCCGGAGACTTCCATCTGTCTTTGTGTTGATTTAGTCTGGTTTCACATTTTGCTGGATTCTTAATGGCATGTCTCAACATGAAATCCCGCCTCCTCAGGGCCCATCATTGGCCCTGGCTGCCACGAAATTGCAGTGTAGTCTTCCTATCTCCCCAATTCTGCCACCATTCTGGGCAGCAAAATATTCACAAGGCTAAACTTACCCAACATACTGGTCTCTCTTAAAAAAGAGCAGTTACTGCCGTAGCCGGTTTGGCTCAGTGGGTTGAGCATCAGCCTGTGGGCTGGAAGGTCCTGGGTTCGATTCCAGCCAAGGGCACGTACCTCGGTTGCAGGCTCCTGGCCCTGTTGGAGGCATGCGGGAGGCAACCAATCGATGTGTCTCTCTCACACTGGTGTTTCTCTCTGTCTCTCTCTCTCCCTTCCATTCTCAATAGGAAAAAAATATCCTTGGGTGAGGATTTAAAAAAGAAAACAAAACAAAAAGCAGCAGTTACTGCCCCAGCTGGGTGGCTGTTGGTTGGAGGTCATACCTGTACACCAAAAAAGGTTGCAGGTTTGATCCCAGGTCAAGGCGAGTATGGGAGGCAACCGATCGAATATCGATGTTTCTCTCTCTTCCTTTCTTTTTCTCTTTTTTCCCTCCCTTCCCCTCTCTCTCTCTAAAGTCAATAAACATATGCTTGTGTGAGGATTTAAAACAAAAAGCAGCATTTACTTCTGGCTTCCTGTTTTTCCAGGCTTCTGCATAACCTGCCTCCCCATCTGTGAGGGAGGGGCTGTGTTTTATTTGTATCTTTGGGGTCTAACACACAGAAAATGCCCATTCAGTCCCCTCTGAATGAATGTTGGCGCTTAGGCAGCGCCTGTCAGTGGGGAACCTTTCTCTCTCCAAGCGGGAAGCACTTTCATAGGGCTTCTCATTTTTTTGTCTTGACTGAGAATAAATTCAAGAGACTATCTTCTCTACAGCCTCTACCCTAATAGATTCCATTGTTCGCCTCAGCCCAACCTTTTTACTTGACTGTGGGTGCAAGCCATCGTTTATATCCCGTTAGTGCTTTATCGATGGCTGCAGAAGGCACTCGGGTGATCCCCTTGTAAATAAGGCCCAGCCCTGCAAGGACAGCGGATGCAGGGCTGTTTCTGTTGTTTAGCAACATGCAGCCAATCACAGTGTGTTTGGACTCAGGGCCCCAGACTCGTCCTTGAGCCATAACATGTGAACCTTGAAACTCTTCTCTCAGATTCATTAAGGCTGATTTAAGACACAATAAATAAACCCGTTAGAAATAAATCCCACCGCTGCACAAACTGGGCTCCCAGTGTGGTTCAGGCTTTGTTTTTTTGCCTTCACATTTTGGGATTCGTTTGGATATAAAGGTCTAACCTGAGGGTAGCAAATGCCGAGCCAGCTGCTTAATTGTAGGTGTGACTCGGCCGCCGAGGCTGTGATGGGAATTGTTCTCGGTTCTGGTCCAAGGCTGAGCCATCAATTTATAGGACACGCTGCAGCCAGCCACGCTCGTGAGTTTTCAGAAAAACAGAGTGAGATACTCCCTGTGTCACATGCCGAGGAGGAGGAACCTGGCCGCCCCGTCTCCCGGCAGGGAGGAGCCATTTCTGTGGTTTCACATCAAGTTCACCAATACTGTGGGGCTTCAGTGATGTGCAGAGCCAGAGCATCGTGCAACACATGGGTGGAGCTGTTGCCCCGTCACGCCCGTGGCTCTTTGGGCCTTGGGGTGCTACTGTCCTTCCTGCACATCTGGCCTCTTGGGAGCTCGAGCCTTCCCAAAAGGCAGTGTTGCCAGAAAACTAATTTCAGCTCTTCCTCTTCAATTGCTTTGGGGTGGTCCTGCCTGTTACTCCGGGAGTTCCCTCCTGGTTCGTGGAAAGTCTTAGGACAAGTGTGGAATCCTAATGAGGAAATCAGCCAGCCTCCTTTCTGATCAGCGGTGCCTGACTCATTTCCCCGTGCTTCGTGCTCCAAGAACCACCACTGGGAAGCTTGTTTTCATCGACACAGACATTCCAGGAACTTGGACTTCTTGCTTCACAGTCATTCATTTCTCTGGGTCTTAGTATTCTTTTCTGGATGCAGTTTGGCCAAGGAAATGAGAGGAGAATAGTCATGCATCCAATAAATACTCAGTGAGTGTGACATACAGTATTAAGATGGTAACATGGCTATGGGCAGAAGAGACGCTGAGGGCCCCTTCCCTCAGAACACTTCCAGTCTAGCCGGGGAGCCAAACAATAAAGTGATAATAATGAGTACACACAGGGAAACGGAGCGTAAAAGGATGGAATCAGGAAAAATGGACTGCAGGAAATGACATGCCGAGACCCACAGGACGGAAAGAGCTGGGGGATAGTGCTTCAGGAAGAGGTAGCAGCATGAGTGGGACCCTGAGGTGGCACGAATGAGGAATCAGAAGGCAGCCAGCATGGTGGCAGTAGAAACAAGGAACAGTGGTGCAAGGGAGACTGGATAGGGGGGTGGGGCTGTGTTAAGACACTTAGATTTTATTTTGTTCAAGTGCAATAGAATGCCTTTTTAAAAAATATATTTGTATTGATTTTAGAGAGAGGAAGGGACAGGGATAGAGAGAGAGAAACATTGATGAATTTCACTGATCAGCTGCCTCCTGCTCGCCCCACATTGGGGATCGAGCCCGCAACTCGGGCATGTACCCTGACCTGGAATCAAACTGTGACCTCCTGCTTTATAGGTGGACGATCAACCACTGAGCCGATCAACCACTGGTCGGGCTGACCTTGTCATATTCTGCGTAAAACCCCTTGGAGGCTGGGAGGAAGCACAGTCTCTTCTCCACTCCTCTGTCTTCCCTGCCTCTGGGCCACTCCCCTGGGAAGCATCCACTCATTCCTCTTTAGAGGCCAGCTCAAACGTGACCTCTCCCGTGGGCCCTCCTGAGCATTCCACATCCCACCCACTGTCAGCGCATTTCTGGTCTGTGGTTTCCAGGTCATGCTAGCTCATGCTAGCTCACAGTTATGTCAACAGCTCCATGAAGACAAGGGCTGTTGTCTTTATCACCGTGCCTCACCAGCTGGCACAGCGCTGGCACATGGCAGACGCTCACGAAACGGTTGTTGAATGAATGAGTGAAAGCCAGGGCCTTTGTTTTCCCTTCCAGCAGCCACAGCCTCGGAGCGAGCGCCATCCGAGAAAATGAATTGGTTGCCCGCAAGCTAACAGTTGTGAATCAGAATTCCTTTCCTTTTTTCTTTTTAATCTGAGGCATACAACTTTACCCATTTTTTCCTTTCAATCCCTCTTTGTAACTTGACTATGTCAGAATCATAAGTAGGATCGCACTTTCTGGGGAGAAAACTATGGTGCCAGTGGCTGAATCTGAGGTTTCTGATGCTTATGGATCTGGACCAGGGTCATCTAGGTCAGTCCTCTCCACCCAGCTCCTGTCACTCACACCACCGTCCAGACCACAGAAGGGGATTAAAGCACTTTTTACTTTTTCCACTTCTCCTTGGAAACCTCCAAGCCACACAATCAAGAATGCCTCTCTCCATAAGGTGACCAGAGCTGGGAATTTTCTGCTGGTGCCCTCTGCCTGGTGGCCCTGGTGCCACCACTAACCAAGGAGACAGAAGGTCACCGGAGGCTCGGGATCAGCTGACACCTAGCCCAGTGCTCTCCATATTCTCCTTTTCCAGGACTGCTCTGATTCTAATGTGCAGCCAAGGTTGAGAACCACTGCACTAGAACCTCTTCGTCTCAAGTTCTGTTCTCTCATATCCATTGCAAAACTCTGCAGGGCATTGCTGTGTTTACAACAAAAAACAGTCACTGTGATTTTTCAGGCACGGAGAGCTCATCCATCAGTCTCAACCCAGCCCCACCAAGGCCCCGGCCCCTGCCAGAGTCGGAAGGCTCATTGTACCGAGTCACATGAGCAGCACCAACGCAGCAAATAGGAGGGGAGGCCAAAATCCGAGCAGGGGGATAGTGCTCTGGCGGGGGCCGGGGCCTTGGTGGGGCCTCCAGGCTCGACTCATTGCCTGGACTAAGAAATCGCCAGCAGCCCAGCCAGTATGGTTCAGTGGTTGAGCGTCAACCTATGAACCAGACGGTCACGGTTCAATTCCCAGTCAGGGCACATGCCAGGGTGTGGGTTCGATATGATTCTCTCTTATCATAGATGTTTCTATCTCTCTTTCCTCTCCCTTCCTCTCTGAAATCAATAAAAATATATTTGGGGGGTGGGGAGGAGAGGGAAATCCCCAGCAGCCAGTCTGTTGGGCCCTCCAATCGAAATATCTGTTGAATTCTCTCTTGAGAGAGAACAGAACAAAGAGAGGTATATCTAACTTGCCCAGTAACTGTCAGGGGTGAGAGATTAAATGCTGTTTGCTCAGTAGGACGGGCCCCCAGAAAGGGAACCGAGAGGCAAAGTGAGTAAATATTGTCATACTTAACCCTTCAGTACAGAGTGCTTCGCCCAAACCACTCGGCTCCCTCAGATTAAAAATGTTTTCATTTTGGTCCACATCCTGGCGATGGAGGGTGGTAGAATTTTCATTTATCTCCCAACGGCCAGATTTAGCACAGCTGCCTCCTGCTAGGGTACGTTGTCGAGTTCAGTTTGTTGTGTTGTCATTGCCGTTTTTTTTCCCTTTTCCCTCCGTCCATCTGTTTCGCTCTGAGAGCAGCACAGCTGTTTGTGACGGGTTCCAAGTTCCTGGGGCTGGGCCCTCTTAGATACCAGGAGGACTGGCTGCAGTACGCAGGAGCCATTTCCCAAGGGGCCTGCTGCCCCCCACACCCCGACCCCCCCGTGGCCCCAAGAGGAAGGCAGCATTGTAGCTGCTGTGTCATTGCAAATGGGGAGCCTGGGTGGTCCTGGGAAACTGGCTTTTCTCTCCCCATCCCCCCTTACA